GATCAGCAGGAAACCAACAACTGAAATGCAGGGAAAACAACTGCAACGCGGGTCTTCGCAAACCCAGGTCAGCCAATATGCGCGGCCGCCTCGCGGCCACGAGCGGCTCGCTAACCAGGGTCAGCCAGAGGGGGTCTTCGCAGGATCCTGCAGGATCTGGTGCCCTGACTGACCCCCATTTGCATTGACCCCCGTCTCAAGGCTCCCGACTCTGGTGGGCTTCTGCGCTTCCGGGCGCTGAGGATCTCCAGGAAGTGCGGGGAGTTCTGCAACAGCACAGGGGAGGGAGACGAGGGGGAACAGCAAGGAGGGATTCGGTCTCGAGGGAGCTTCTAAAGGCTTGAGGCCATTGTGGTGGCTGTTGAGGTAAAGGGGAGGAGGGGGAGCAGGAGGAGGAGGAGGAGGAGCAGGAGGGAGAAACGAGGACTAGATAAAGGAGAGAAAGGGGCCGAGGAGGATGAGGACAGGCAGAGGAGATGGTGGGGGACGGGGAGAACGACGACGAGGAACACGAGGAGGACGTGGACGGCGTGCATGGAGAGAGGGAGCGAGGGGAGGAACCGGAGCAGGCGAAGGACGAGGCCGAGGCCGAGGCCGAGGAGAGCAGCAGCAGCAGCAGCAGCAGCAGCAGCAGCAGCAGCAGCAGCCATCCGCAGGACGACCAGGAGGGACGGCGCGTTTGCGCGGCCGCCCCTCACTGTGGGCAGTCCTGTGCGAGCGGCAGCCTGGCGGTGCGACAACTCAGTGCTCCACAACCCCCCTCTCCTCCTCCTCCTCTCCTCCTCCTCCTCCTCCTCCTCCTCCTCCTCCTCCTCCTCCTCCTCCTCCTCCTCCTCCTCCTCCTCCTGCTCCTCCTCCTGCTCCTCCTCCTCCTCCTCCTCCTCCTCCTCCTCCTCCTCACCTCAGCGTTCTCCCCATCTTCCCGAGTTCTCCCCTCTGTGGAGCTCCCCCGCTCCCCCTTGTAGACGCTCCGAGAGCCACCCGGTAACCTCCTGCGATCCACCCCCTCCCTGACCTTCCCTCATCAATCCCCGTCTCCCTCCCGTTCCCAATCCCCGCCCCGCCCCCCCCACCCCCACACGCTTGATCGACAAGCAGTCCAGAGGAAACGCACGACTCAGACATGCGCCAACACACCACTGGGCCAGGCGTGGCCAGAGAAGCCCAGATAGAGTCCCAGCCCTCTTCAGCGCAATGCTTGATAGGGGAAGGGGATGATGATCTACTACTTCCGCTTGACCTCGGCCCAAGAATCCGCCGACACCCAGTTGCTGGGGGTGGGAGGGCGTGTGGCATGATTGACTACCCCCCTCCCCTTTTCCCCCTCCCCGTCGATCCCAAATCCTGTCAGAGAGGGGGGGGGACGAGCTTGCCGCCACCCCTCTGGGGCCCTCGGAACCTTCAAATCCTGCCCCCGCGGCCTCCAAGATGCTCAAGAAGCTTCCTACGAGGGCTCAAGACGGGCTTGAAGACGCCAGGGAGGCCCCAAGAGTACCCCAAGACGGCAGAAAGACGCCTCCCGGAGGGCCCCCAGAGAACCTTCAAGACGGCCTCAATGGGCAAACCCCGCTAGTTTCCGAGGAGGAGGAGGCGGAGGAGGAGGAGGAGGCGGAGGAGGAGGAGGGGGAGGAGGAGGACGAGGAGGAGGACGAGGAGGAGGGGAAAGGAGGAGGAGGAGGGGGAGGAGAAGGAGGAGGAGGGGGAGGAGGAGGAGGAGGAAGAGGAGGAGGAGGAGGACGAGGAGGAGGAGGAAGAGGAGGAGGAACAAAAAGAGGGAGGGAGAGAGGGAGAGGGGGGGGGGGAGGAGGGGGAGGAGTGGGAGGAGAAGAGGAGAAGGAGGAGGAGGGAGGAGGAAAGGGGGGAGGTGGAGGAAGAGGAGGGGAGGAGGAGGAGGAGGAGGAGGAGGAAGGACCCCCCTCCTCCTCCTCCTCTTCCTGCTCCTCCGCCTCCTCTCCTCCTCCTCATCATCTTCATCATCACCTCATCATCATCATCATCATCATCATCATCATCATCATCATCATCATCATCATCATCATCATCATCTCATCATCATCATCATCATCATCATCATCATCATCATCATCATCATCATCATCATCATCATCATCATCATCATCATCATCGTCGTCAGAAGCAGCAGCAGCATCATCACCATCATCACCATCACCATCATCATCATCAACATCATCATCAGCAGCATCATCATTTATCATCGTCAACATCATCATCTGCAACAGCATCACTACCATCTTCATCATCAGCAGCATCAGCATCAGCATCATAATCAGCAGTATCATCGTCATCGTAATCATCAGCAGCATCAGCAGCATCAGCATGAGTATCATCATCATCATCATCATCATCATCATCATCAGCAGCAGCCACATCATCATTATCATCATCAGCAGCCACATCATCATCATCATCAGCATCATCATCGTCAGCAGCATCATCAGCATCATCATCAGCAGCATCAGCATCATCAAAATCGTCAGCATCGTTATCATCAGCAGCATCCTCATCAGCATCATCATCAACAACATCATGAGAATCCTAATCAAAATCAGCAGCAGCATCATCATCATCATGTCGCGCCCCCAGACATGCCGCTTGGCGGCCCCAGGCCATTCGCGTGCAAAACGGTCGATGGACGATCACCGCACGTATTCTGTCATCGCAACTCGTCTTCTCAAGGGAAGACAAATGTACCACCCATCACCACCGCTACCCTTCGCCCCTGTTCCCCTTTCTCGTCCTCTTGGGAGGCTCTCGTCGCCACCGTTGGATTCGTTTCGACATTCTGGTCAGAACGCACCCCGGTAGAGGGCCGGGTAGTAGCGGCATCGGTACCTCTTGGCTTTCCCATCTTCTTGACGCCCGAGTTGCTGCGGGGGTGCACGGTGAGCGGTGCAAGCAAGAGGCGGCGGCGACGCAGAGGGGCCCGAGAGGTGGGCCGAGGGGGGACGAGGACCAACGAGAGGCCGAGACAGGACCCGCAGGGGCAAGCGGGAGGTGGCCCGAGAGGTGGCCCGAGGTGCCCGAGAGGAGGACCCGCAGGGGCCCCGGGACCCTCACCCAGAAGATCCCCAGAGCCCGAACGGGCCACCGAGAGGCCCCCCCCCAGGGTGCCCCGAGCAGGGGGCCACATGCGAACCCTACCCCTAACCCCCCAAGACTTCTGAGGGGGAGGGCAGGGTGCCCTTCGTGCGGAAGCTCCCGAGCGAAGCGAACCCCACCCTCCCCCTCAGAAGTTGTGGGGGGTGGGGGTAAGGTTCGCGTGTGGCCCCCTACCGAGAAACCTCCACGGCCTCCACGGGACCCTGAGCAAGCAGCCGACCGAGGGGCCGCGCCCACGAGATCTCTCGGAGAGGGCCCCGAGAGGCCGGGGCACCGGGCGCGGAGGGCGCGGAGGGCAGATCCACACAGCCGCTGCACGCGAGCACGACGGCGGGGAGCGGCAGGCCCCAGACGCCAGATTCCCCGACGGCACACGCGTCCTCTTCTGGGAGTCGGCGAGGTGGCGCAGGCCTCTGGAGTCCGCCCGCCCACCGAGAGCTCCGCGCGCGGCTCTTGGAGGCCTCCTGGATGGGGTCCGAGCAGCTGGGGTCGCAGGACCGCGCCGCGGCGCCGCTGCATCGGCGATGCACCTGCGATATGTCGTCGACGTCGGCGAGGCATCGGCGGCGCCGGCGCGGAGCAAATCGGGCCCCACCTCGAGCCGCATCGGCGATGCAGCGCGATCCTCCGACCCCACTTGTTCAGACCCCACCTGGGAGGCCTGTGGAGGAGGGGGGGGATCCTGGCCCCGTTGGGGGCTCACTCCTCCGGGCCCTCTGCGCCTCCTGCGGGCGCCTCGTGCCGTCTGCGGGCCCCCAGCAGGCTCCTGGGTGTGGGGTCGGGTGTCCCTCTACAGGAGGGATGCTCAAGAACAGGCAGAAACTAGTCTGGTGGCCATTTTGGGTGCTCTTTTGACTGCGTTTGACCATGTCTGCACCATTCCTCATTTTTTCTTCCAAAATCCGCCTGGAGGTCTGCCGTGGCTGTTGCAGGGAGCCAAGGGTCCAAAGGGCCAGCGCCCATGCTGCTGGTCCGACGGGCATCGATCAACCACGCGGCAACCCTGAGACCACTCGGCGATGGCATGGAGAAAAAATACCACGCATAAAGACGTACAACACGCGCGCACGCACGCCCCCCCCTCCACACACACACACACACAAACAAACACACACACACACACACAAACACACACACACGCACACACACGCACACACACACACACACATGCGGGAATGTGTTTTTTCCATGTTCGGATCATGCTCATGTCGTCCTAGAAACCGTCTTCGCCTCTGCCCACGAGAACCGGAATGGGCGGGCGGTGAGCGCGAAGCGTCTCCAAAAAAGGTGCACCGGTGAGTCGTGAGAGAACAGCCCCGGCAATCATCAAGCCGGCGGGCCAGATATCACAAGTGCGTCGTCCTGGAATGAATATACGGCGTTGGACAAACCTCCCTTCAGTAAACCTCCCCTTCGTGAAAACGGCCTCGGACCGAGACCGACGGACCTGGACCCGCAAAAATGACGGCCGCGGCGCCCTCTCGCGAACCGAAAACGGCCAATTCCTTACTCGACGTGTCAGGGTAGGAGGTCTGTCCACCTCCGAAATATACCCCTGCGCTCAGCCACAGCACGGAAGGCAGGATTGCAAAAAAACGAAGGATTGCAAAAAAAAACGAAGGATTTGAAAAAAAAAAAAAAAAAAAAAAAAAACTGGGATTGCAATCCTTTGCAATCCTTCGTTTTTTTGCAATCCTTCGTTTTATTGCAATCCTTTGCAATCCTTGGTTTTTTTGCAATCCTTCGTTGGGGGGAGGGAAGGGAGGGGCAGAGGTGCCGGGCACCAGAAGCGGCAGCAAGATCGGCTCCGCGGGGGCGGCGTCGGGCAGCGGCGCGAGCTGCTCGGCCGGCGGCGGGACTGGGCCGCCAGTGCCGGGAGCGGTCCTGTTGATGACGGGAAGCAGCATGGACAGCACGGAGATGCTGGTGGTGAACTGCTCGCCTGCGGAGGCGGATCCAATGATTCGTAGCTAGCTGATCTGCGCGCCATAGCCGCCAAGTCAGATCACCAATGTCATGCCTATATATATATATATATATATATATATATGTGTGCCTGTGCGTTCAACCCAAAATAAAGCTCTCTCAGCTCTCTCCATGCTCTGTGTGCCCTTCTCCAAGCTCTCTCAGTTCTGAACGGGACGCAGCCCTGTCCACGGCCACTCGCCCTGGCACTCCTCATTGCACCCGAACGCCGCTCTGGGACAGCTCTAAGACGGGCCACTGATATCCCTCCCAAAACGCCCAAACACGGCGCATGACCTGACCAACACGGCTTCACGGCCCCCAGTAGAACCAATGTGGCCTGCCGAATCCATTTGAACTGCCCAAGACAACCCGCGTTCTCTTCAAAAACCACTCGGATCCTCTCGGAAACCTCAGCCAAAAGAGCCCGCGGGCGTCCCGTCACAGGCCGGACTTGGCCAATGTGTTTCAACTTCTGCCCAGCTGGGCCGGTGCTCGCCAGCCTCCCCTTCCTCGCTCCCAGCTCGCTCCTGGCTCTTCCATCCGCCCTCCGTCCTCCCTCCTCCCCCCCTCCAACCCTTCTCACGCCTTCCTCCAGAAGTATTCCCCCCTGCTCTCGTCACCCTCGTGGCGCTCAGTCCTCCCTCCGCACTCCTCCCTCCTCGCTCGTCCGTCCTCTCTGCATCCTGCGCTCTCCCTCCTCCGCCCTGGCACTTCCGTCTTGGGGCCAGCTCGGGCGCTGCGGGGACAGTTCGGAGTGCTCTCCTGCCAGACTGCTGCAGCCCTGGTACGTCGGGGGTGTCCCCGGGGGTCCTCGGGGGGCCGCCTGAGGGGACCTCTCTCTGGGCAGTCTGGGGCCATCGTGGCGCCGCCGTGGGGCTCTCGAGCCCTCCATCGCTGCTCGGGTGCCCTTCTGGAACCGCCTTTGAGCAGCAGCCAGTCCTGCTGCAACCTCGCGACCCACCCCTCCACCTCTACTCCCTCTCCTGACTACTTGCGTGCAGTGACCCCTCCATCCATCCCCTCCTCCCCCCTCCCAGCCAGCCGAGCTCCATCGGGGACGGGAGAAAAACGCTGGGGACTGATGCCGAAGAGAGCAGACCGAGGGGGGGAAGGAGGAACGAGGGGTGGAGGAGGACATCGGATTAGGAGGAGGAGGAGGAGGAGGAGGAGGAGGAGGGAGAGGGGGGCTGAGGGAGGAGGATGCAGGATGGAGGAGGAGAGGGAAAGGAAGAGGAGGAAGACGAAGCGGAGAATATGTCACCGCGAACAGAACAGCGCAGCGGTGGGCAGGGAGCGCCTATGCTCATCAGCAGCAGAGGCACCGAAGACTGGAAGTAGTGTCCCTGCAGCGGCGCAAGGAACGCTGGCCTCCTCCAAGTTCTCCTCTTCGCCCTGCTTAATTTTACCCCATTCCCCATTCCTTCTCCTCCCTGTTCCTCCTCCTCTCCTCCCCCCTCCATCCATCAACATCCTTGCAACTAACTTCTCGACAGATTCCCTTGCAACTTCTCGACATCCTCCTCCACCCCTCCTCCACCGCCCTGCTCCCCATCCCCGTCGTCTTCCCGTCCTCCTCCTCCGCCCTGTTTCTCGTCATCCGTCGTCCTCCTCGTCCTCGTCCTCGTCCTCGTCCTCCTGCTCCTCCTGCTCCTCCGGCTCCTCCTGCTCCTCTGGCTCCTCCTGCTCCTCCTTCTTCTCCTTTTTCTCCTCCTTCTCCTTTTCCTCCTCCTCCTCCTGCTTCTCCTCCTCCTCCTCCTCCTCCTCCTCCTCCTCCTCCTCCTCCTCCTCCCTCACCCACAGCACTTGATAGGCTGACAGAGCTTCACGCAACATCCGATACCGAAACCACCTCATCTCCCTCCCGATGACGACGCTTACGCCGACGCCGACGCCGCCGCCGCCGCCGACGCCGCCGCCGCCGACGACGACGACGACGACGACGGCGACGACGGTCACCACTGTGGACCTCTGCCAGAGAGCGTCAAATCCAAGTCTTTGTGCCGCCCCAGCTGCGGCGACGAGTCGGGCGGATCTCCGAGAGGCCCCCAGGAGGCGTGCGAGAGAGCCGCCCGAAGCCCAGGAGAAGGGCCAACAGCGTGAGACGGCGCCGACAGCAACGCCGACGACGGCGAGGACGCCTGCAACGACGAGGGCGGCGGCGACCAGGACCACGACGACGACGACGACGACGACGACGACGACGACGGCGACGACGACGACGACGACGACGGCGGCGGCGGCAGCGATGAGGACCAAAACGGCGGCGGCGGCGACGACGGCGACGACGGCGACGACGACGACGACGGCGGCGGCAGCAACAGCGATCAGGACCAAGACGGCGGCAGCGGCGACAGCGGCGGCGGCGGCGAAGGCGACGACGAGGCCTGCGGGCCCGTCGAGGCCGCGGTGCGCCGGGCCACGGGGTGCATGGCCAGGCGCTGAAGGCACCGGACCTGCGGCGCGGGGCTCGCGCGCAGGCGGCGCAATCGCCGTCGTCGTCGCCCGACGTCGCCGCCCGCCGCCCCTGCCGCCGTCGACTTGGGAATCCCGAAACCGCGTCGTGGGGACAAGCCGCGCGGCGACCCCAGAACCCCCGAAGACCTCACCGCGAGGTCTGGCACCGCGTGTCCTTGGAACCTCGGGGGCCGTGGTCGCCCGAGACGTCCCCGGAGAACGACCGAAACCCAACGCCGCGCGGTGACACCGAGGGGCCCCCGAATCGATGCCGCCGCCGGCGCAGTCGCAGCCGCCGGCGTCGTGGTCGCGGCCGTGGTCGCGGTCGTGGTCGTAATCGTGGTCGTGGTCGTCGTAAAAAGGAATGACAAGAGAGGGGGGCGGGAGGAGGAGGAGGAGCACCAACTGGGCGACATACGCACTGGCCCTGAGGTCTGTGACCCGCCGTCGTCGGCGCCTGCCGTGTTCCTGCGCACGGCCGGGGCAATTCGGCTGCGGCGTTACGCCGCCGCGTGCGCCTCAGCAAAGCCAAGAAACCGCGGGTAGGGACTGGAGGGAGATGCCGCCGTGTACGTTTCGGCGCGGTCTAGAAAGCGGTAGAAAAGATGTGACGGGAGCGTCGCCGCGATCCTGCTCGTGGCAAGGACTGATCGGCGGCGGCAGGCGCCACCGTGCGCGTCTCGGCGCAACATAGAAGGGGCGAGGAAAAGGATAGGACGGACGGGAGGTGGTGCCGCTTACCTGCCCATGGCAGGGGCAAATCGGCGGCGGGTTTCGCCGCTGTGTTCGCCTCGACGCAACCCAGCAGCTCGAGCGGGGATGGGATGGGTGATGCTGCCGTGCTCCTGCTCATTGCCGGGGCAGCTCGACGTCGGCTTACAGCGCCGCATGCGCCTCGGCGTCACCTAGAGATGCTATCTTGATCCGAAACGAGGCCGCCCCAGGAAGGCCCCAGACGTGGGTCCAGGCCCCCCCCCCAGGGGAGTCCCCGGGCAGCCCGTGGACTCTCAGAGGGGGGCGCCCCCGGAGCAGACCCGCCCTCTGGGCTGTTTTCCGCCGCTGCGCCTCGGGCTCCGGGCAGAGGGAACCGAGGCCGTTTTCGGGCCGCCGACGGCGTCTTTGAGGCAGCCCAGCCGCAGTCTTGGGCGGGGTCTTCGGAGCCTCCAGGGCCGCCTTGGCGCAGAGCTCGGCCGCCTTGGGCGTCCCCAGTGGCGGAGGCACTGCTGTTCGCTTGCGCGGTGCCCGTTTGCAGTGCGCAGCGCTGCCTGCCCGCTGGGCAGGCTCGCCTACGCCACGCCGACCGCCGAAGCGGTGTGAGTTGCCCCCTGTGACGGCCACCCCGATCCGTCCCCTGCCCCGTCCCTCCCCAGGTGCACAGCGGAAAAGCGGTGGGAGGGAGGAGAGCACAGCACTACGAACGCAGCAGGTCGGCAAAGGACAAGTGTTCCTCCAAGCGCTTCGCCGGCCCTTTCTTGAGATCAGGGTGCTGGCCCTTCGAGAGCCTGTACCAAGAACATTTCGCCCCGTTGGAGGTGAAACCGAGCGTGCGCTCATCCTTGAGCTTCCTGAGGTTCCCGGATTCCGAGTCTGCCCCGCAGGTGCTGCATATATGAAGACGGGTTCCCATGATTTTGTTGGACAAGTGGATGATCTGCCTGCGCGGACTGCGGCCGAGCTCGGTGATGGCAGAGTCGTGGCCCGGGCAGGGCGCTGCGGGCCTGGCAGACCGCGCAGACCCAGCGGGTGCGCAGACCCAGCGGGCGAGCTCGGTGACAGCGAGCTGTGGACCGCGCAGACCCGGCGGGTGCGCTCCCAGCTCCACTGACGGCACCTCGCGGGCTGGCCCGTTTCGAATCGGGCCGCCCTGCGAGGCGCGTTCGCCCCTGGGGCGGGGGCGGCGGAGGGGGAGGGCAGGGGAGGAGCTGCCTGGCCGCTCCGACGCCGGTCACCGGACCTTCCTGCCGGAGGTTGGTGTCAAGTTGCGACCTCATTTCTTTGGTCGAAGCCATGTTTCGGCGGCGAGCGAGGGGGGAAATGAGAACGAGAAGACCTTCTCAGAAGGCGGCGGGACTTCTCGGAATCCCCTGCGCCTTCTGGGAAGTTTCTATCCGTATTCGGAAAAGGCTCAGAAAGCTTCTGAGAAGGCCGGGGGGCTTAAGTAAGAACAAGGAAAAGCGACATCAACACCAACAGGGCTAGGGGATGCGAGGAGGCAAGAGGGGACTCCCTGTGGGTGTGGTCCCCCCCTCTCGCTCGAGGCATCCCCAGCCTCCAGCTCGGAGAGGCATCGTGGACCTCCTCGCTGGCGGTGGGCCCCCTGGTGGTGTTGGTATCGCTGCTCCCCCCTCCGATTGAGGACCTGGGAGCCCCGATCTCCCAAGACGGAGCCCCTCTAATTCGCATGCCCAACCCTACATAAAACATAAACGTGTTGTCTGGCCGCTACCCTTCCCCAGGGGGGAGAGGAGAACTTCACGACGCCGAGGAAACCGGAGTAAGTGGAAGTGGCGCGCGGGCAACGCTCCATAACCGCGAGCAATGCCATGTGCTCAGCAGCCTACTGCCATCCGGCCGCGTGAAACGGACGGGGGCCATCTTTGAAACAGGACCCGTCCGTGAAGACGCCGCCCTCGAAAGCACGCTCGACCCAGGCAAAGATCGTCTCGGCACCAATGCTGGTATGGGCTGGTCAGTGAGCCTGGCGGCGGCACCGCCACTCCTTCGGGAAGCACCAAAAAAACGCCCAAAAAAACCGCACACCAGAGAGAATCTACCGTGCCTGTCGGCGAGGATGGAGAGATCACCTGCTTGAAGCATTTGCCCCCTCGGAGGTGCTGTGCTGGGGCAGTGGCGGAGACGGTGGGAGATGCTATCCGACGGCCCCCCGCACACGCAGCTGGACAGCCCGCGCAGGGCAGCTGGTGGTGCGTTCACGAAGAATGGCACAAGAAAGGTGAGAGGAGGCCCTGTTCGTGACGGGACAGGCTGCGCTCTCAGACGAGTTGTCTGGCCACCGTCAGATCTTGCGCGGTGCCCCAGGGGCAGGCCCATTCTTCCTGCAATCACAGTCAGCGCTGAGCGCGGGCCCACTCATTCCGCAACTTGGCTTCCACGAGCTTGGGCGCGAAAGCCGCTGATGGCCAGCGCCCGCCAGAGGGGTCGAGAAGGAGAAGCGGGGCGTGAAACTGCGGAAGACTGCGCCCGAGAGATAGCGAGGCTTGCCGCTGCAAGAGGGCCCCTCACCTCTGCCAGTGCAGACGGCGTGCTTGCCAGAATTGGCCGCGTCAGCTGGGGCCTCCTCCTCCTCCTCCTCCTCCTCCTCCTCCTCCTCCTCCTCCTCCTCCTCCGGGGTTCTGGGCGGTGCTGGCCCCCTTCGGGCACCGGGGGCCTCCACGAGGCAGAGGCCCGCCCGGGACCTCCGGAGGCCACCCCTCGGCAGCCCTCCGGAGACGCCCGCGACCCTTCGGAGACGCCCGACGGCATCTGGAGCTCGCCGTGGCCGTCGTCGTCGCCGCCGTCCTTAAAGGAACCCCAGGACACACAAATAAATACACACAAATAAAAATGTGCCCCATATTTTCACATATTTTCTGGGTTTTTGTCTTCCAACCCACTTCCCATATTTTCCCATATTTTCCTGGGAATCGACGATTAATTGTGTCTGTGTGTTTCTTTTCCTCCTGAGTCCTGGCCACCGCCGTGGCCGTCGCCGTTCGAAGGCAACTCCCTGGAAATTTTCGCTGGAACGAGCGGCGATGAAGCCCGATTGAGGTGCCACTGCACCGGATCAGGCTGGACTAAGCCCAGGAGCTAAGCCGGACTGAGCCGGAGTAAGCGGAACGGAGCCGAAGTAGGCCGGATCAGCCCAGATTATGCCGATATCGACCACAAAAATACCACCGTCGATGCAGAATTCAACCTCCCAGGAAATGCATCCGAATCGCCGCGACCGTCGCCGTCACGGCAACTGCCGTACCCGCAAGAATTGCGTGCTCCTCTGGAAAAGGCCGTCGACGCCGTCGTCGCAACCGTCGCCGTCGCCGCTGGCATCTTCGACCGTGATCGTCGTCGCCTTCCCAGGGAAGGAGCGGAAGACGAAGGGGAACTTCCCGCGGCAAACAGATGCCCAAGCCGTGGCTTTGCCGAGAAAAGGCTGTCGCCTTACTGGCGGCTTCTGGGGGTCCAATTAAGTGACGTACTTCGCGGACCCAAGTTTCGGGACTAAACCAAACGGGCATCACAGTGGAGGCCAGTCCGCAAGAAACCTTCCACAAGAAACCCAACCCTGAGACCCCAGGACGTCCATGGAGTCTTGGCGTGGAGGCGTCATGCTTCCCATAGCAAAACCACCGAAACCAGAAGAAATCCAGAACACATTGTAGGCGAGCAGGGTGTTTCTTGGCATGGAGTAGTAGTAGTAGGAGGAGGAGGAGGAGGAGGAGGTGTTTCTTGGCATGGGCCTCAACTGCACGCGAGACGGTCTGGGGACCTCCTCAAAGCCGTGGCTTCTATACGCGGGTCACCTGAGCGGCACGCGAGCTAGGAAGCGAGAGCGCTCACGCGCGACCTTGTGCGGGCAGCTCGCGCGCGAATGTCGGCACAGTGGGACCTCCTCTCCAGGGGAGTTTCGGAAGCCCAGAAGTCGGCACCAATGCCAATATCGGCGGCGTGCCTCCACCGAGGGAAGATGCTCCCAATCTTAAGATGCGGGCTCCATGGGTGGCCGAAGTGTTACCACCAGCCCCAATGCTCTAGGACCATCCCAGAGATCCAATGTCCCGATTTGTTCAATACAGGGTCCCTCGGAAGTCTCGACCCATTCCCGAGGACCTGTGTCCCATCCTGCGTCGTTTCTTGACGGCCCCGAGGCCCGGCGAGGGCCCCTGCAGGGGGCCGAGATCTGCGACAAAAAACTCCGTCTTGATTTGTTCAATACATTGGATCTCTGGGTCTCCCCGCGTCGCCCCCAAATGAAGCTTCCCGGTCTGCAGAGGTGATCTGCTCGTCTCTTGCGGCGCCCCCGCAGGGGGCCCAGCGGAGCGGCAGGCGTGGGACAAGCAAGGGCCCCGAGGCCCTTCCGGCAGCCCGAGGCAGCCCACGCTCCAAGGGAGGGCCGGCGAGAGCGGGCAGACGCAGCGAGGCGAAGAGGCGAAGGGAACGAGGACGGCGAGGATCGGCAACTGCTTCGTTCCAGAGCGGGGGCCCAAACGGAGGGGATTGGGCGACGATGACGACGACGACGACGACGACGACGACGACGACGACGACCAGAGTGCTGGTAGTAGCGGCGGCGGCGGCGGCGGCAGCGCCGACGACTATGACGACGGCGGCAACGACGACGCCCCCCAGAAGCCTCCGAGGGTGCCACGGGGCCCCCGGTGGGGAGGCCTCGGGGCCCCGGGAGCCCAAGAGGCCCAGGAAGAGGCGCCCCGACGAGACGACGACGACGCCGCCGCCGCAGCCGCAGCCGCCGCCGACGACGACAGCGACGACGCCGACGCCGACGCCGACGACGACGACGACGACGACGGCGGCGGCGGCGGCGGCGGGCGGCGGCGAAGGGCGGCGAGGGCGGCGGCGGCGAGGGCGGCGGCGGCGGCGGGGCGCGTGGGCGGACAAAGAGCAGGGCCCGCTCGGCCGCGAGGCCGCCCGCATCCACCTCGGCGGGGTGGGGCTGCGGGCTCGGCGGGGGGGGGGGGGGTTCCGGGTGCTCCAGGGAGGTCTCACAGGGGGGGGGGGCAGCGAGGTCGTCCCTGCGGTGGCCTCGAGCCGCCCCTCCCCAGACCCTCGGAGTGTGGACGCCGAGGGGGGGGGGCAGGGAGGGGCAGCGGGGGGCGCACGCTCCCCCCTGCTCGGCCCGCATGGGATGAGCCTGCGTGATGTAAGACGAGGCCAGGATCAGGTCGGGCATGTCCCCCTACAGGAGGAACAGTTCAAAGTGGTCACAGGAGAGGTCTCACAGGGGGCCAGCGGGAGGAGAGGAGGGGCGAGGAGAGTTCGTGTTCGAGGTCGCGCCCCCTGCATAGCCTAGGGTGAAGGCAGACCGGTGGCTAGCCAGCCTGCTCTGAACTCCACACGAAGTGCACAACAGAACAAAGGCAACCTCGCAACCTCATGAGAGTCCAAAGAAGGCAACAACGGGTGTCGAGGTCGGCGGTGATCCCACGCCTGTTTCTCTAGCTCTGACGCCCATTCCTGGTGCATGTTTTAGATTTCGCGCGTAGGGATATCGAAGGTGCTCCCTGAGGGGTCTCGACGAAGAAAATGGAAAAGGTCCGATTGATGCCAAGTTCTAGCACTGGGAAAGAGCCCCCGTTTCAGCTTCGACCCAGGCCTGCTGTGCGAGACCGCTTTGTGAGGCTCGCACTTCTTGCCGCGGTTGGGCAGCCGCCCCCCCCCCCACAGCGAGCAGGGGGAGGGATAATGAAGGGACGTAGTCAGACGCTAGGTAAGCTCGCGACATACAATACGAGCTCGCCCACAAGAAAACCTTTTCACAGAAAAACCCAACCCTGAGACCCCAGGACGTCAATTGAATTGTGGTGTGGGAACGTCACGATTTCCGTGGTAAAAAGCATCGAACCCCAAGAAAGCTAGGGCACCCCGGAGGCAAGCAAGGTGTTTCGTGGCATCGGTTTCACTGTATCTGACATCCTACAGGCCTCGGAACAAATTAGCGAACACATGCCACACTCATCCGTCAACCCCTCCCCCCTCCCCCCAATGTTCAAAGTTGGCGGCGGGTCTGATGAGATGCACTTCGACCGCAGTCTCCCCCGCCCGTGCCAACATTGAGTTTGGGGGGGAGGGGGAGTATTCAGTACTTGCTTCCCTCTACCGTACCTGTCCCATCCATCCCTTCCCACTGCGCTGAATCAGCTTCGCTCTGCCAACTGGAGTGTCCCCAAGGACATGAACCCCCAAACGACTCGGATCCAGGAGTGTGGCCCGCGCTGGAGCGAGAACGCTACAAGATTCTGAACGACTGGAGGAAGGTTTCGATCCTGAAGTGTGGCCGCCGCTGCAGCGGGAACACTATTCTGCCGAGAACGTTCCGATCGAACACGTACATACGAACTGCAACCGAATGACATCCTGTGCGAAAAAAAACACGCGGGAGAGGCGACGACATCACTGGACATGATCAAGAGAGAGAGAGAGAACAACACAGAGAGACAGAGGAAGAAAGAGAGAGAGAGAGAGAGAGCGAGAGAGAGAACGAAAAAAAACATGGGAGTCGCATGCATGTTGTGCATGTGTGTGAGGGAGGGGGGAAGGATGAGTGAATGGGAAGAGGCAGAGGTGGAGGAGGAGAAGGAGGAGGAGGAGGAGGAAGAGGAGGAGGATGAGGAGGAGGAGGGAGGGAGCAGGAGGAGGAGAAGGAGGAGGAGGGAGGACGGAAGAGGAGGAGGAGGAGGAGGAGTAGGAGGAGGAGGAGAAGGAGGAGACAACTCAGAACGGGGGGGCGGAGGATGAGCTGACCGGCTGCTGGTCGGCGCCGTCCCTGCGGCGGCCTCGAGCCGCCCGACCTCCTTAAGTCCTCGGAGTGTGGACGCCGAGGGGGGAGCAGGGAGGGGCAGGGGGGGCTTCTTTTGCCTATCGGCGCGGGCCCCCCCCCCCCCCTCCCCTCCCCACTTGGAGTGGATCTTGGCTGTTTTTGGGCGCCTGCTTCGAGCGGGTGGGGTCTCCCCCAGAGGCCGCACTCCTGCAAACAGTCGCACTAAGCAGAGGTCTGGAGCCAGAGCCCCCCCCCCCGTCCCCACCCTTGCCGCCCAACGTCGAAACGCCGATACTCCCCCCTGCTCGGCCCGCAGGGGATCACCCTGCGTGATACAAGGCGAGGCCAGGATTAGGCAGGGCATGTCCCCCTACAGGCGGATTCTGGAGGAAAAAGTTCACAGTGGTCAAGAAATGCGCAGCCAAAATATTCACAATGGTTGAAACATCGTCCCCAGACTGTATTTTTGCCGTTTTCGAAGGTTCCTCCTGTAGAGGGGCACGCCAGATTTCAGGATACACCCACGTGAACGAAGACGAGGCCAGGACGAGGACAACATCGGGCGAGGACAGATCGAGAATCTCTGAGGTTCCGCAGCTCTGGAGGAAGCCTCGGGAATCTCGGGAGCGGCCAAGAGGGGGGGGTCCAAGAGGGGGGGGTGCAAATCATGACCGGCGGCATGTGCGCGGCCCAGCGGGGGGGCCAGGGACGTAATGAAATAAGAAGAGGCGCCATGAAATCTGGGGAAATATCATGGCCCCCGCCATGATATCCACCCCCCCTAGTCATCAACCCCCTCTTTTCCGCCCCTGATCTCAGGGCGTTCCGGAGCGCTCTGCGCCGCAGCGCTCCGGAACGGATTAGGGTGACCCCAAGGGGGGTCCAGCTGAGAAGGGCTGGCGCAATAGCCTTGGGGCAACTGTAGTGCACGTGTACTGCGCCGGAGAGTTGTATTGCATAGTATTGCAAGTGGTGCGCCCAAAAAAAATCTATTGCACCAAATCTACTGCACCGCCCCCTGGTCGTTAGACCCCCTTTGGGGTCAACCCGAGCGGATTTTCATCCTCGTCCCATAGCCCCGTCGGGTGAGGCTCCCGAGCGAAGGGCCTGGCCTGACCTTCGCAGACAGGAGCCGCAGCTGGTAAGGCTTCGGGCTTCGCACCGACAGGTCCCCCAGGCAGTCCCAGGGGATGGTCTTACGCGAGGTGGCATGGCGCTATGTTGCTCCCACCGTACGCAAGGACCACATCCCAGAAACGAGTTCGAGCACCTGGAAAAGTGTCGAAAGAGTGCCGAAACAGTGTGGGACGAGTGTCTCCCGTGGCCCGACGCGTGAAGACCCGCGAGTTTGGGGGTACCTCCTGGTGCTCGAAATATTCTTCCTGGTGGTCAAGGCTGAGGCAGGTTGGAACATCAGAAGCATGGCGACCCTACGCGGCGACTTACGCGGGCCGTCGCCCGCGGCACGCTGCGCTGGAAGAGAGGGCGCTTGCCTGCCCGACCTTACGCGGGGAGCTCACGAGCCGATGCCGGCGCAGACGACCTCGTACACCCTGCGAAATGCTTAAGAAATCATGGGTTAAGAAATTCATAGTCTCAGAACTTGAATAAGAACCCAACAAGTCTATTCAAATCTTAGGATGCGCATTGAAACATTAAGAAAAATCAAGATTCTGGCCGAAAACTTAAGTTTTCTTCAGCATCGCCTAAGGTGTACCTGGCTTCGCTCAGCTGGTATCGACCATCCCTCGGAGCAGTCCGGGGCGGTAACAGCACCCCGGCGCCGCCCCTGGCGGCGCCCCAGGGCCTCGCCCGAATCCAATCCGAATCCAACTCACCCCTGCTCCGTGTTCGTCAAATGCGATATACACCCGCTCCCTCGACCGACGGCCGACCCGGAGCAAAGACCCCGCCCAAATCATCCTGGTCATCCCGGTGACAAGGTGCACTCTGCGACAAAGCCTGAGTCATCTTCGGGAATGCGCCCTCACTGCGGATTGGTCTGTTACATGTCGGCAGGGGGCACCATGTTAGCCCGTGTGTGCAGGCCCACCATCCCTCTCAGGAAAAACAACACTGCAAATGCACGTGGCGGCAACATACCCGGACGCCTTGGGGTGTCCTCAGCGAGTGAGATGCTTACCCCTCCCCCGACCCCTCCGCCCAGACCCTGGTCTGGTCGATTTGGAGGGAGGGGGGTGCGCCCGCATCCCCTGGGCCCGGCCTCACCGCACCATGGAAGGAAAGAGGCCCCAGCAATGAGCCCATGAGCCCCAAAGGCCCCCGAGACTGTCCAAATGGGCCCTACGAGCCAACATTCGTGTTTTTGAGTCCGCTTGTGCAAGAAATGAGCGTTCCCGTCGACGGCAAAAGAGACTCCCATGATCCCCCCAGACGACCCCAGAGGCCCCAAGGCCCCGAAACAAGCAAAGAGAGCCCCACACGGCCCGAAAAACGGGCTCGAAGGCCTCCAGTATGGCCCAAAAGAGCCCCCAGATCGCCGCAAGAAAAGGGAGGAGGGAGGAGGGAGGAGGGAGGAGGGAGGAGGGAGGAGGGAGGAGGGAGCATTTCGAGCCCTCGGCCCCCCGACCCGTGAGAAGCCTCCTCGACGCTCCAAGAGGCCCTCCACAGGCCCCCATGAGGTGCCCAGAAGGGCGCCCCCAAAAAAAAAGCCCCGAGGCGCCCAAGAGGCTCGTCAGGAGCAGCCCACCACAACCGCCAGGTCCCCAAAGGAGTCCACAGTGTGGCGTGCGTGAGCCCAAGAATCTCAGGGACGGCCCGAAAACCCGACCTCTTCTTCTTCCTCCTCCTCCTCCTCCTCCACCTCCTCCTCCTCCTCCTCTTCCTCCTCTTCCTCCCTTTCCTCCTCCTCCGTCCTCCTCCTCCTCCTCCGTCCTCCTCCTCCTACTCCTCTACCTCCTCCTCCTCCTCCTCCTCATCCTCTTCCTCCTTCTCCTCCTCCTGCTCTGCCTTTCATCCTCCTCCTGCTCCCCGGTCCTCCTCCCCTCCTCCCTCCTCCCTCCTCCCTCCTCCCTCTCTCTCCTCCCTCCTCCCCTCCTCCTCCTCCTCCTCATCATCCTCCTTTCTCCTCTCTTCTTCTTTCTCCTTCTCCTTCTCCTTCTCCTTCTCCTTCTCCTTCTCCTTCTCCTTCTCCTTCTCCTTCTCCTTCTCCTCTCCTCCCCCCCTCCGCTCCTCCTCTCCTCCTCCGCCTCCTCCGCCTCCTCCGCCTCCCCATTTGCTGTAGCGCAGCCCCTCTTTTCAGCACAGCGGCAGCGCGATTCGCGCCCGCTCGACGCGGCGCCGCCCGCTGCTCACGGGGAACGCCCAGCCAGAGGTGTGAAACCGTCGTCGGGGCCCGCTGGGCAGCGAAGCCCTGGGCCCTCCTCGCGGCCCCGCCGTGGCAGCCGTGCTCT